ACACCCAGCTGGTTTGTCAAAAAGCCCAATTGCGGCCGATATTAAAGACCTTCTCCCTGCTGTTTGCCAGATTTAACAATCATGTAGTGATCAGACTTTTTAACCTGGCGTCATCTCAGTTTGGATTGATTCAAAGCTCCAATTGCAAATAAGAAATGATATGGCACTTCAACCAAAGATCTTATTTGCTTTTGAAAGACTCATAGAATTGGTAATGATGTTCTTAGCCCGGCTAGAATCCAAGTTAAGTTAGGGTTAGTTATCTCGGTAACTATTGGATGCAAGGACTTTCTTGTTCTCCAATCAATGAATCCCACTGATCCCCTGATTTTTCATCTCGTGCCTGGCACTCTGGATTTGACTATATTGTTTTATGATAAAATGTCTCAACAACAATCATGTAAAATACCGTGAAATAATCCCCAGAGGATGAATCGAAATAACTTTGGTGATATGGCGCCTTCAGTAAATGTAACATTATCACCAAAACCAAATGTGACCTTTTATTATTGTTTTACGCCATAATCAATATATTAAACCCTCCAGAAAAACGCGATTCTGCGATCGCAGAATTTCCCGCATAATCAGCAAAATGCCGCAGATTTTTAAAAGTCCGCATATTTATCAAAAGGCCGCATAATCCCCGCATTTTTCCANCCTGTTGCTAAAAATAGTCAGATATTGTGGTATCAACTTACTGGGCTGAACATCAGCCAGGCAGACACAACTGTATTTCTCAAGATTTCTTTAAAGTGGACCTATCATGCTATATTTGAATACTATAGTGTAGGACCATACCTATATAAGGCATATTTATACTTTTCATTTTTCAAAATACCAAACAGATCATGCATTATAGCCATTCCTAATTTCGCTCAATTTAACACTGCCTTTCATGCTCGGATTCAGTGAGAACAGCACCATCTGGTGGCCTGAAATATGTACTACAGCGTCTCCAGCGCTTTCGAACGGCAATGTCCGTGGCTGTCTCCTCCTGATTGGTGGAGTTGGCCCAATAGTCGTAGCGCAACTTCTGTGACGACATAAAAGTGTTCAAATCTGGATCAGTCTGTATCAGATCCGTTGCAGCCCCTTTTTTAGAGATTTGGGTATGGAGGAAAATAAAGAGGGTTGTGTTTTCTGACACTTGGTGAGTTCCCTGGAACACCGGGGACACATATTCATGTATAAAAGACGTACAAAAGTGCATTTTGCATGATAGGTCACCTTTAAGATTTGGGAATCTGGGGTTTTTGAGGCAAGATGATTTACAGTGGAGACTGCATAGCTATCATATTAGTAATGGACCGTTCAACTCCTGCTGCTTTTGTGTAATTTAATAGGAGCAGGGATGATTCTCTTCTGCCTTTGTGCAGGAAAAAGAGTGGACTGGAGCTGTCGACTCTCATTTCTGAGGCCCTCTGATGGCAGACACATGCACTGCTGCAGTGTGAAATCACTGGGAGAGATGTGTGGGTCTCTGGGAGGGTGACCTACTTTTTCTTCCCTCTTTGGTCTGCCGGAGAGAGAGCTGCGAGTCGCACTGCTGAGCACACAGCTTGTAATGTAATCCCTTCTGACTGCAGGTGCACGGCTCTACAAGAGACACCACCAATGAGGCATGCACAGATGCTGCATGAATGTTTTATTTTATGCAAGCATAACTCTTCTCAGCAGCGACCTATTCCAAGTGTTATGTATTCCCATTTCTTTTTTTAAATAATTTGAATCTTACTAAAGGACTGCTGTGCGTGTGTGTGTGTGTGTGTGTGTGTGTGTGTGTGTGTGTGTGTGTGTGTGTGTGTGTGTGTGTGTGTGTGTGTGTGTGTGTGTGTGTGTGTGTGTGTGTGTGTGTGTGTGTGTGTGTGTGTGTGTGTGTATGCCATATGTACTAAGAAGACATTCTGGCATTGTTATAGTAGTATGTAATATGTATGCATTTAACAATTCTTAAGATTTTTAAAGAAATTGTCTGACAAAGAAACGTGCTTATTTGCTTTCTTGCTGAGAGTTAGATGAGAGGCTTGACACCACAATATCTGTGCAGTATTTATGAAACTATCATCAGCAGCTGGTTAGCTTAGCATACAAAACTGGAAACGGGTGGAAAAGAGTCAGGCGCTCTCCAAATGTGATATTATACCTACTGGTCCTTCTAAATCTCACAAATAAGTTTGTTCACACAACAATTTGCGCTTTTTTGGAGGGGTTATGCTGAATTATATATATTGGCTCGTACTTATTGCCAGAAAATCAGAGGAGCCTCTAGAAAGTTACTCGACCCAAAGTAATAGTCCCACACATAAAAACTGCAAAATTGACATTTTACACTTTGGCTTTAGTACGTATTAGACTAGAGATATATTGTGTATATTAATGTTGCCTTAGTGGTTCCCAGTTTGAGGACAAGATGATGAGTAAAAAGGAAAGCAGAGCATAAGTATTCTGAAAAAAAGGCTAATTATTTGCAGGGTTTTCTTCACATCCTTTTTTTATGTGCGTTATTGTACAATGAAAATAAAAGTAAAACAAGGCCTGGTACCTGCTCATACCTGGAGGACTATTGCAACCAGTGACAGGGGTTACCAGTACACATAGCTTGTTTCCCAAGCAAATACTGTCTGTTGGGAACCACTGAAGTAAAGGACACTGCATGTCGGGAAAATAGAGCTAATTTTAATAAATAATATTCTCAATGTGCATACTGGGTCATATTCAAAAGCCACTGACACATGACCTTTGTGAGTTTGAAACTCCCGTTACCAGAAGCTGTTTGCAGTCATGCTAACATCACTGCTGACTTATTTAGCATCCCCGCCAATGCACATTAGCCCGTGTGGCAAAGTGCTTCTGTGCCGCTCTAAGCATCGCTCCTGCTGGTAAAACAACTTCAGCATCAGTTCACCTGCATCAGCTAAATAACTTGAAGGTGGAAGGAGAGGGTTTCTTGCTTTTAATACAGCTATATGTTTTCAAGGTTCTCTAATAGGCATAAGTAGATGATGTGTGTATTGCCAACAGTACAAATCTGTTAAATACAACAAAAGAAAGTAGAATTTCAATTAAATCATTTAAAAGTATTATACTTTTGAACAGAGCTAAGTTGTCCCCCTTTGATTACAGCTAAGCTAAGTGGCTAAGCAGCTAGCATCACATTTAGCATACAGATACGAGTGGTACTGATCTTCTTCCCGTATTTCCCAAAAAGGAAAAATTCCTCTTTAAAGTATGGTTTTAAATAAGTACAGGTAACACATTTAAAGCCTTCACATGTGGAATTAATACACAACAAATTATGTTTTTCTGAACCACTCGTTAGCGCCTTATCAGGTCACTTAGCATGTCAATTTTTAAAAACACACTGTGCTAAACAGTCTCTTGAGCAGCGAGTCATTAGGAGTTTTGACCTTGGCTCCATTGTGTGTTAATCGTGTTAGGGTAAGCTTAATTGCTTAAGGAATTGCAGGATTTACAGCCCAGAGCCTGTCAGCGTTGGCCCAGCTCCATATCCACTCTGCAGTATGTTGTTCCTCTCAGTGATTCCTTACAGGAAACTGTGACAGGATCCCATTCAGAGTGGATGGGGTGAGTCCTGGGTCAAAGCTGGAACAGAGACATGGGAACTTAATTTTGAGGAAGTCTGTTTCACTGTGTCAGCTATCAAATATTCAGATGCCCAAAGGCAATCTGAATCCTTGCCACCAGGTGTAGTAAAAGTAAGGCAGTTGACCTACTCAAAAATGCAATTATTTGGTTGAAAACATCACAAAAGAATAATGTGGCCAAAAAAATTGCCTTTTATAAAAAGTGTTGCTTTATTGTGCTGATTTACTTTTGAATTATAGGCTACAAGAAGATCGATGCCACTCTCATGTCTGTCATTTAATATAAACCTAAAGTCAGGAGACAATTAAGCTTAGTTTAGCATAATAATGACTGGACTTTCGCTCTACGCTGTTCAAAGGTTAATGTGTAGTAGTGGCTAAGCTAGGCTAACAATCCCCCTTCTTCAAATGTAAAAGTATCTCTAACCCTGTTACATATTCACACAAAAATCATGCTTTATATATTGATGACTAAATCAAACCAAGTGTTTCTATCATCTGGATGTTAAGTAAACAGAGGAACAAGCTAAGCTAAGCAGTTAGCCTGCACCCCTCCACCCTTTGTCTTTTAAACTGTGTCGTAGCATCACAGATTTTTTAACAATTTAGCAGTTTTTAATAGTGAAAATAACTCCAGTGATCCTAAGTTGTGGTTGTCTAAGATCAACCAGCAGCAAACAAGGAACTGTGAGTGCTTTATTGTGTCCACTTGGTTCTACACACCATTCAGTGTCATTTTTGTTCATTTCAGAAATGTTCTGGCAGATTAAGGTGAACATTGTTTGTATCCTGTGCATTGTTAAGGGGGGAAAGTAGGGCAAGATGAGCTGGAGGCTTGTCAAGTACCCGCCCACTGAATCATAACACAGGCTGGTAGTATTACAATCAAACCCAAATTGATAAGCAGAGAAAAAAATGTGCTTTATTTACTGTATTATCAGGGATCACATGAATATATTGAAGTTTTTGTTGCATTTTTCTTGCATCTCTTAGAATCTAGTTATGATTAAAAGACGTCCAATCCAACACATGATTGATTTTGAACATGAAAGGATGGATTTAGATGACCAGAAACATCCGATGTGAGTGTCTGACTGAAGCCCCTCTCTCGAGTTTCGGCCGGACGAGATCCTGAGAGAAATGAGATGCTGTTGCTAGGCGACGGCTGTTGGAGGCGGGATAAGGAGGAATTTAAAGGAGTCTCAGACATCAGTGTTGCCTCAAATACTTTACTTGGTCGAGGTTCGCCTACTGTCTACTACTGTATCTCCACCCACACCATGTCATATGTAACAAGGCTGCTGTGAACAGTGGTTTTCTATGCAAAAAAACGTTCCCTTAAGAACCAAAGCAAACATCATCCCTGATATAAGAAACAAAAAAAAGCACTAGACGTGAGGTTTTGGTCAGTTTATGTTTGGGACACAATGCTGCCATCATGTGGTCATTTCTGACAGTCCAAGTCAACCCTTCTTGATCTCAGGAGCTCAAGTTGCACGCTTCTTTCTTTTTCTTGCGTTTAACTCTGTAAAATAAACAAAAAGCAGATATTTCAGCTGTAAAAAAATGCATGGACTCTTAAATCAATGTGCTTCAGACTTACTGGCTGAAGCACTGCTGGTTTCACTGTGAAGAGCAGCTTCTTCTTCTGTTGTGACGGCAGCCTTTGAAGCCCGTAACAGATATTTAGGTACATGCTGAGAGAAAAGAAGAAAAAAAGATAGAATGTGTAATTCAAATTAAAGTTATGTAAGGACGATAAGCAAATGTATAAATCAACCCCCATTTCATCAACTGAATTGTGTTTTAGTATTTCAGGTTACAGGAAATGATGATGAACTTCAGTTAAACAATTCAATGTTAACAATGAACTGCCTCTTAGCATTGTATCTCTAATTTTATGGTTGCACTTTTCTTTCACCAAGCCCTCCGTCTTTTCAGAATCATATGACTGCCTGTAAGTACATCACTGAAACACCACTGAGAAAAGGCTCTCGAGATATTCAGAGTAGGGAGCCTCTGTGTTTTGAGCTCATGCTGTCTGATAGGTATACAGATGTTTCTCTCTTGCTCTCTGTGTAACGTTGTGCTGACCCAGGAGGTTTGTTGCAGAGGAAGAGGATCGGCTCTGCTCTGGATCCTGTCGCTGTGTCGTCGTTCAGTGGAGCTGCTGGGGAGATTTATGGCGGACGGCCGAAGACGACTGCTGGTCGATTCGGATTCATCTGCTTCAGCTAGGAGGTCTGATAGCTCTCCATCACTGATCTCCCCCTCCACCACGGAGCCCTCTGCACAGGGACAATTTCACAAAGGGAAAACCAAAATGTATTGTGCAAATCTTTGAAATACTATACTTCCCGTAACACTTACTTTTTATGTGGATCTTTTCCTATGTCATGTGGATTCACTAATCCACTGTATCATTATTTCAGTATTTACACATATTTCAGCTTTGTCTGAACATTTCAATCTCCTGGAAATTTCGCCCCGTAAAATCATATGCAAATTTAAGTCACAGCTTGTACCTGTATGTTGGGGAGTGACCGCACACTCAGCACAAATCCAGTCGCCTGCATGAACTGTGTTTAAACGTGGCGTCAAGCAGTCCATATGATACCTGGAACAATAAGTACAACCACAGAGGACTGGATTAGCATCTNTAAAAGTGTTCAAATCTGGATCAGTCTGTATCAGATCCTTGCAGCCCCTTTTTTAGAGATTTGGGTATGGAGGAAAATAA